GGGGGGCGTTCCGGTCCATCCTTCACACCCTACCGAGGTCACCAGTTGCCCCCACAATCGGCTCTCCAGCAGGGCCACAGCCCCAGAAGCACAAGGACTTAATGCAGAACCCAGCAGGTTGGAGCAGAAAAGTGAAAGGACTATGCGTTAATCCAGGCCATCAAGTCTGCCAGAGGGGAAAGGGGGTTGCCCCATTTGCCCTCTCTTCTCTGGAAAGAAGGATGGCGGCCGCATGGGAGCCTTGTGGACAGCAGGTATGAGCCGGGGTTGTGGGGGCAACTAAAACCTCATGGGAAGGGGGGCGTTCCAGTCCGTCCTTCACGCCCTACCGAGGTCACCAGTTGCCCCCCACGAGTGGCTCTCCAGCACGGCCACAGCCCCAGAAGCACAAGGACTTAATGCAGAACCCAACAGCTTGGAGCAGAAAAGTGAAAGGACTATGCGTTAATCCAGGCCATCATGTCTGCCCGGAGGGGAAAGGGTGTTGGTCCCTTCCGCCCTCCTCCCTCTGGAAAGAAAGATGGCGGCCACATGGGAGTCTTGTGGACAGCAGGTATGAGCCGGGGGTGTGGGGGCGACTGAAACCTCATGGGAAGGGGGGCGTTCCGGTCCATCCTTCACGCCCTACCGAGGTCACCAGTTGCCCCCCGCGAGCGGCTCTCCAGCACGGCCACGGCCCCAGAAGCACAAGGACTTAATGCAGAACCCGGCAGCTTGGAGCAGAAAAGTGAACGGACTATGCGTTAATCCAGGCCATCAGGTCTGTCTAGAGGGGAAAGGGTGTTGCCCCAGTCGCCTTCTCCTCTCTGGAAAGAAAGATGGCGGCCCCATGGGAGCCTTGTGGACAGCAGGTATGAGCTGGGGTTGTGGGGGCGACTAAAACCTCATGGGAAGGGGGGCGTTTCGGTCCGCCCTTCACGCCCTACTGAGGCCACCAGTTGCCCCCCACTAGCGGCTCTCCACCACGGCCACATATCCAGAGCACAGAAATCAATTTCTTAACTATCTGACTTTCAGTAGAAATACTTCCAGGGTCAATAAGTAAAATAGCAGAAATCCAAAACCAACATATAATTCTTGAACACAGCTGTAGAAAGCAAATCACTTCACAATGCTTTTTCAGCATGTCTGATTTGGGGGGGGGGGGGGTAAACTCTAAATAAGAGTCGTGAATCTTTTATTGAAACAATGAATCTAATCAAAGCAGATAGAGTGCTAACTAGAATTCATCTGCCCCACAGGAACTGGGAGGGGTGGGGGGTGGGGTTTTATTGGGGTTCTTCATGGTAAAAAATAAGTTTTGGTAAAGGGAAATGTGTTTGATATTTGCATGACTGAGACCTAAACCTGAAAGCTTTGTAACCTTTCCCACGGTGATTCAATAAATAAATAAATTAATTAATTAAAAAAAATTTTGAAAAAATTATGGGGGAGGGGGAGTTAATGCAATTATAAACCATGTTACCTAAACTACGTAAATAAAGTGTGCCTGTGTGTATAAATACATAGAGTATCAGTAACTACATTCAGTATTAAAATCTCTATCACTAAGATAGAATCACTCCTGCCTTCTGAAATTCCATCAGCAAACCAAAATTTGACAGCTTTTTTGTCCTGTAAATACTCTGCTAGACAAGAAATAACAGTATATTTAGTCAACCAATCTTCAAATTTAAAGTCAGAGCTGGAGAGATAATACCAAGGGCAGTCCACTTGTTCTACATGTGACTAACTCGAGTTCATGCCCCACCACCCAATATGGTCCCCTGGAGCCATGCCAGGAGTGATACTAGAGCACAGAGCCAGGAGTGAGCTCTATGCTCCTCTGGGTGTGGCCCATAACTCAAACTTCAAGTCAATGCTGGACCTTCTCACCCTAAGGGTTACTATTAGATAATTTCTATTTATCTCGTCATTATTTTCTTTGTCCTACAAATGTTTCTTTGCACACAATTTTATAGTTCTGTAAGACTACTAATGGTAGAAATTATTAGTGTGTGTCATTTAAGTTGTTTTTTACTTTTTTTTGCTATATAAAAGGAGAGTTGATACTAGATAGGAAAAAGAAAAATAACTTTTGTAGTAAACTTTTAATCTCACACTACCTAGTGTCTTGTGCTTAAAAAAATAGATCCTGGCATCTTAAATTACAGAATTATGGAAATGGACTACATCCAGGGCAGTAAATTCTACCAAATTTGGCACCTACTCTACCAAATTGGACTCCCTGTTTAACGTTTTTAGGTTTTTTCCTGTTATTTTATGGAGTTCTCATTTAGTTCTTGTGAGCTCAATTACCTTAGGTTTGACCCTGTCCCCATGAATCCATTATTTCACTCATCCTAAGTGTATATTACCACTTTTCATGACATTGAAATTTGCAATCCCTGATATTTGGTTTTACATAAATTGGGTTTGATTTATAAAAGATTAGAAAGTATAGAATTCCTAACATTGTTTCCATTTACTATTAAGGCACCACAAGCAAGCACTTAAGGAAACTGTTTATTCATAGGTCTAGATTTATTTATCTTTAATCTATGAAATAATGGCAAAAGGGACCGGAGCGATAGTACAGTGGGTAGGGCATTTGCCTTGCACACGGCTGACCCGAGTTCAATCCCTGGCATCCCATATGGATCCCCAAGCATCGCCAGGAGTAATTCCTGAGCGCAAAGCCCGGAGTAACCTCTGAGCATCTCTGGGTTGACCCAAAAAGTAAAAAAAAATAAATAAAAGGATGGCTAGAAAAGAAAGAGGAATTCAATATTCAATAAGGACTATATTTAGAAATGTGTGTTTGCCACTTCAATGAGAGGATTTTTTTTTTCCGTATATTTTGGGCCACACCCAGTGATGCTCAGGAGTTACTCCTGGTTCTGCTCTCAGGAATTACTCCTGGTGGTACTTGGGGAACCATATGGTGGAATGCCAGGGATCAAATCCAGGTCTGCCATGTGCAAGGCAAAGGCCTTATCTGCTGTTCTGCTGTACGAGATCTCTCTGGCCCCAAGGGAGATTTTTCATCTTTTACAGAACACAGCAACAAAAGCAAAGGTAGGAAGAAGAGAGTTTAAGAACTATAGATTATAGTTTATAAGATAGAGCTTCTCCTATTGGTTACCTGTACCTTACAAGTTGCATTAGAATGATCACTAATAAAATTTTTCAAAAAGGGCCCAAAATATAACTTTGGGGTTGTTTGTTTACGGGTGCTCAGGGCTTACTCCTGGCTCTAAACTCAGAGATCACTTCTAGTGGGGTTCAAGCAACCATATGGGGTGTCAGTGATGGAACCCAGGGTCAGAAGCAAGCAAGAAAAATGCCCTACTCTCTGTATTCTCTCTTTCTCTCTTTTAACACCCCCCCCCACCCGGAATATAACTTTGGGGCCATTAAAAAGTGGAAGTTAAAGAAACATTTCATCCCCACAGCAAGTCCTAAAGGAGAGGATCCCCCAAAGGATCACAAGGATTTTAGTACTAAGTTAAGATGGAAGCAGGCTGCATTCCTCTATTATATAAAGGAACAGCCACAACAATAACCAAAGGAGGCCACAATAGGAAGTACTGTCACTGTCCTCCCGCTCTTCATCAATTTGCTCCAGCGGGCCCAGGAACATCTCTATTGTGAGACTTTGTGTTACTGTCTTTGGCATATTGGATACTCTCGGTAGCTTGCCAGGCTCTCCGAGAGGGGCGGAGGGATCAAACCTGGCTCAGCTGGGCTGGCTGTGTGCAAGGCAAACGCCCTACCACTGTGCTATCTCTCCAGCCCTACATCCACCTGAATATCCACCTGGAATCCACGTAGAGTCAAGTTCATAGGTGTGCTCACACACATATGGGATTCTGTCCACATTTTTCAGGAGTTTGTCTTTTCCGCAAACTTGTCTTATATACCAAGTTATTAAGCAGATCATTAGTTGTATTAGTTAAGGGACTTTTAGTTTTCTCCTTACCCAAACTAATGAAAGATGATTCTTGGCTCTACAACGCTATTTTTTTTTAAATAAAAAAGTAGGGAAGAATTGATAGTACACGAGGTAGAGTGTTTGCCTTGCACACTGCCCACCCAGTGAAGATCTGTGACATCACATATGGTCCCTTGAAGCACCGCTAGGAATGATCCCTGAGCACGGCCATGCAAAACAAAATCCCAAAACAAAAAATAATAAAAGCAACGACCAGGCATGTTTTTAAGGCATATTATAGTGCTGAGCAAAATCCATGGATCCCGTTCATCAAGCACATGGTCAAGAAGCACCTACTGGTGGTGCAAAGTTAGCAAGAGGCATTTTTTTAAAATTTGAAGACTGAAAATCTTATTTCAGTACGGTACTCTCTAGTGTAACTACTTTAGACACGTTTCTTCCTTCCTGCGTTACACCTACAAAATGCAGTTAATAACCCAACGTCCTTTTTACAAGTAAATGACATACTTTGTGCAATCGTGTCAAGGAGCTTCTGGATTTATTGAGCACTTAATGAAAGCCGGGGAGAAGTGCTTTTTTTTTGCCCTCCAGCTAAATGTGGTTGACTTCACTCACTTTACAACTCAGTGTTTACTAATGAGAATCTAAAAACGACTTGATAGGACGGGACAAAAAGAGCTCAATCCCCCTGTCTTCTTTGGGAGGCCATCCCCGTCACTCCTCAAACTACAGGAAGCCCTTGGAAGAAACGGAAACTTGTTCATTTGTCTTAAACCTTCGCAGGAAAAGAGATGCACATCGCCCTCGCCACCTATGAGCCCTTGCCTACCGAGACAACGGAAAGGCGACAGAGTACCCGGCTAGCCCTCGAGCCCTGAGTGGCCGAGGCGCTTGGTGGCGCTCAGGATGGAGCGGGTCCAGGTGGCCACTAACCCTTGCGGGCGGGTCGCGCTTTTAACGCAGGAGCAATGTGGACGAAGGAGTAGTCTATCCTCAAAAAAAAAGGGGGGGGGGTGGACCGCGCAGGGGAGGACACAAGGGCCAGCGGGATCGATCCCCCGTTCACCCAGGTCGGCCCTCGGGCTCGTCGTCACCTCCAGTGGGCCAGGCCAGCGCAGCCGCATCACGAATGACGCGCGGCCACTTTCCCACGTCTCTTCCCGCCCCCTAGAGGCCGGGCCGGCGGCGACGCACACGCGCAGTTCCGCTTCCGGGTGCCGCGCCGCGCTCCCCACAATGCCGTGCGGCTGCGACCTGTCGCAAAGGCCGCGCTCCCGCGGCGACTGAGCGGCGGCTCTTCCTGTGGGAAGCGAGCGACGGCGGCCCGTGTCCTCGTCCTCCTCTTGCCGCGGGGCCGGCTGCCCCCCCGGACGGTGTCCAGCTGCGCGTCCGAGACTGGCCAGCGCCGCCTGCGGTCTCCGCCATGCCCCCCAAGAAACAGGCTCAGGCTGGGGGTAGCAAAAAGGCGGAGCAGAAGAAGAAGGAAAAGATTATCGAAGTGAGTGGCCGCCCCCCCTCCCCCACTCAAGCCGCGAGCCCCGCGGCGGGGGCAGCGTCCCGGGGCCTGCCTGGCTCGCGTCGGCCGGGGCCACGTGTCCCCCACCCTTGGCGCCCGCCGGTCGCCCACCTGCCCCCGGCTCCAATCCCGCCGCCTCCCGGCCCACCCACCCCCGCTGACGCTCGCCACCCCTTATCGCCATAGTGACGCCGCCGAGCGCCCCCACACCCGCGGCCGGGACCGCGGTGTTGGCTCTGCGAGTCGCCAAACAAACTCGAAGGCGTCTCTCGGCGTCTCCTGAAGGGAGTGCTGCACCCCCCCTCCCCACCCCCACCCTCCCGGGGCTGGAGTGCGACCCGGAACGAGACATTTGGGCACCGGGTTGTTGTTTTTCTTTTTTTTTTTCTCCCTCCCCCCCTCCTGACCCGTCACCCGGGAGGAGTCGCTCTCCTGCTGCCTCGCAGGGCTCGCCCGAGCCGCCGCTTGTGTGGCCGCCGGCAGACGCCGAGGACTCGGAGGCGCTCCCGGGGCCGCGTGCTTTTCCGCGGCCCGTGTCGCCTTCGCGTTCGTTCTTGGCCCGCTTCGTTCTTTCGTGGCGCTCCAAGGGCCCCCCCGGGGACGCCACTAGGCGTTCTTGGTTCGTGACTCCGCGTCGCTCTTCTAGCACCCGCCTCCCGCTTAGCTGGGGATGAGTTTCCTGGAGAGAAGCGCGGGTGGGGGTGGGGATGCGGATGGGGATGGGGGGGGGGGGAGCGGAAGAATAAAATCTGAGGTTTCGGAGCCGGCTTTGGCATCGCTGGTGAAAGAGGTACCCCACCACACCACCCCCGCTGCCAGCCCCATCCCGGCCCCGGGTGCTCCGAATGGCCCACGGGGAAGCCCCGAGACTCTTTTTCCCGCAGGAAAATGCACGCATAGGTCCCGGCCCCCACCCCGTGTGCCGGTTCCCCCCCCACCCCCACCCCCACCCCCACCCCCAGAACGCGCCGCAGGGCGTTTGGGAGGTGGGACCTCTTTGAAAGCGTCACTTCTGCTCACTTGTGCTCCGCTCGCATGACAGCTTTGAGAAACAGCAGCGCGCCCGGGAAATCCCACCTGGCCTCTGGGCTCGGACTTCTCGTGATTGGTTGATTTATTTATTGAGAGTTTGTCTAGGGGTAGGAGCCATGGTACAGCGGGGTGTGTTTGCCCAGCACTCACACGGCTCACCCGGGCTCGATCCTCTCGGCATCCCATATGGTCATGCGAACCCTGCCAGGAGTGATTTCCTGAGTGCAGAGCCAGGAGGAAGCCCTGAGCAACCGCCGGGTGTGTCCCAAAAGGGGGGAAAAAACTGTTTTTACATAAATGAAAGTGTAAGAAACGTCAGTATGATGAAGTCCTTTTGGGTCTGGCCCTGGGTGTTGTTGAAGAGCCCACGTGAAGAAGACACATGATCAAAGATAAGACTGACTGATGGCCCCCTGACATTTCACACCTACTGTCTTTTGGTCAGAATTGCCGCTTGCAGAGACTTGATGGCATTCAGTGCTGTGTGAGCCAAGGAGGGCATTGTAGGGATGCCGGTTTCCCCGGCCTGGTCTTTCCTTGCATTTTGCTTGTTTTGGTTTTGGTTGGTGGAACTGGCGTTCTAAGGAATTGCACAGGAAGATTATATTTAGTGTCTTCAACTGAAACCAATAGGAATATTGATATCGTATTATCTTGTAACAAGATTATTTTCTTTTTCTTTTTTTACTTTGTGGTGCCATGGATATAACCCCGGGCCACAATTTGCAACGCATTTAGCTCTACCACTGAGCTACATCCGGGGCCTAAGAGAAATTTTCCTTTAATTTATTGAATCACTGTGGATTGCAGGGTTATTTATGATTGAGTTTCAGACATACACTGTTTGAGCACCAGTACCTTCACCAGTGACCATTTCCTCCGCCCCCCACAGCCTGCCTGAATGGCAGGCACTTTTCTCCTTTTAGGCACTATGGTTTGTCATAATGTTACTGAGAGAATATACTATCACTTTACATCCTTTCAGCGGACAGGTAAGAGTGACCACTTATCCCCTGTTGCTGTCATAGTAGCCCCTTCCCTGTCCTAACCTCCCTACCCCCACTGTGGCAAGCATCCAACAAGATTTTTTTTTATTATTTTTAGTTTTTTTTGAGTCACTGTGAGATAGACCTGTACAGTGCTGTTCATAATTGGGTTTCAGTCGTACAGTTTTCCAACACTCATCCCTCCACCAGTGCATGTTTCCCAGCGCCGGTGTCCCCAGCTTTTCTCCCATCACCTCCTACCCCACCCCCAGCTTGCCTCTGTGACAGGCACTTTCTCTCTCTCTCTCTCTCTCTCCCTCTCTCCCTCCCTCCCTCCCTCCCTCCCTTCCTCCCTCCCCACTTTTGGACATTGTATTTTGCAATACAGATAATGAAAGATTATCGTGAATATCCCTTTACCTGCTTTTAACACTCAGTTCTTTTCCTATGTCCTCATTTCCAACTATTATCATCATACTGGTTCCTTCTTTATCTTCCCTACCCTTTGCCCTCCCCCCACACACACACACCTATGGTAGATTACAACCAATAACCAGTCCTCCTTGCCCTTGTTTTCCCTGGCCTTGGCAACAGGATTATTTTTAAAGAAAAAAGAAAGCATCTGAATCATGAAGACTTCTGAAAAGTCTTTGAAGATTTCTGCAAGGAAAAGTGCAAAATACAAAACAATTTGTATGACAAAAGATAATCTTAGCAGTAGTGAAGTCAAGTACCTCTTCCCCAACAATTACTCCACAATTTGATGACCTTTTTAGCCTTTTTTAAAATGGTAGTAAACTTTTGCACAAAGTTGGAAAAGGGGGAGCGCAGTAATTTTGTGCATTGATACATATAAACTTTAACAGTAGTCAACTACCTAAGTGCTAATACAATTTTTTCATTTTAAATAATAGCAGAGCATATGCTTTAAATTTTTTAATAGTGACATTTGATTAGTTGCCTTACATACCATTTTCATCCCCTGTACTTCTACTTTCGTTGCAGCCACTGTAAGTACTTGCTAATGCATAGCAACAAGTAGCTTTTGAAAGCTCAAGAAAGGGGAATAAAAGATGACAGTTTAATAAAAAAAAGGGGGGACCAGTTTTATAGTCAGACTTAAGTTTGTGTGCCATATTTTATTTTACGGTTTCACACTGAATTTAGGTAACGTAAATTACTTGTCTCTGAACCAGTTTCTAATCAACAGAACAGAATTCTGTATTACAAAGCTGTGCAGTTGTGGGTTAAATGAGGTATCCAAAAATAAATAAGTAAATGAGGTAACAAGGTATCTGACATGGTAGACATTGTATTCAATTAGTGGTCACTCTTATCTATTACTAACATAGAAACTAGGAGAAATAGACTAACCTTCACTGTCTGTACAGTGCTTGCTTGAAGTGATCATATTGCCTGCATTTTCTTTTTCTCTTTAAACTTCCCCCAAATTTCATTCATGTGTTTGCAGTAAATATCATCTTTCTGAAATGAGTATTTCAAAATAGGTTGTTTTTGTTAGGTACTCATACTGTAGTCAAAAATGAAACTTTTAGCTTTCTTACAGTCAAAAATGTAGTGAGTTTAAGTTAGCTTTGAGAAGTGTGTTTGATTATAGAGAGAAATAATGTCAAAAGCACAAGCAAATAAAATAACTGACTTGAAGCAACAAGGAAACAGAGTTAAAGAGATGGGATCCTGCTTAAACTTTAACAGTACTGCCACTACCTAAGTGCTAATACATGTTTTTTAATTTTAAGTTCAGTTACCCTTTTCTTAGAAACATTACCTGTTTCTTAAACTCCTTTGTATTCATTTTTCCAAGTATGTAGCACAACTCTTCATTATATTCTAACTTTTGGGGATATTTTTATGGTCTGATGAGAACCAAAATTTCTCTGGTTTCATTTTAACCATGATTTGGTTCCTTGTAACTTTTTTCTGCCCTGTATCTCCAGACCCCAAAAGAAGCTTATTCTTTAGGTAACCATCCCAGAGTGATTCAAAGTGTTCCAAAATGCCATCTCAAGTGTTTAATATATCATAGTTGAAGAAGCTTTTACATCAGTTAATTAACTTGTCCAAGATTGTCATAGCTAGCAGGTAAGAAGCATATTTAGAATTCAAACCCAGAAAGTCTGGCTCCCCAGTCTTTGCCACTAATCACTGTACTCTGTTCCCACATTTCACACTACATGCCATTGAGCTTAGATTGAAACCCTCTTTACAAATAATAAGATGTAGGGATGAACGTGAGGGTCATCTGGCTGCACCATACATCTGTTACCCAGCGTTGATTTGGCTGATCTGACTGGCCTAGTAGGTGTCCCCTTGCTCCCTCCATGCTCCATGTGTGTCCTCAAAGCTGTGTCACTCAGTTGAAGAGGACAGGCTTTACTGAATAGAGATGGACCATACATCGATCTGGGTGTATATGAATAGCAGCTGCACATTCCTGCTAGAAATAAGCGTTCAAGAAAAATGTTGGGGCCAGAGTGATAGAACAACTAGCAGGGTTCTACTTTGCATGTAGCCAACTTGGGTTTGATGCCCATCACCGTAAATGCTCTCCAGAGCACGCTGCCAGGTG